GTCCCATTCGAGAATAACCGGATAGGTTCAGTTCTAGTTCTGGATAACGGTTCCCTTTTGTCACAGTTATAAGAAATGGTGTTACATTCTGTGATGTAAACAGTGAAATGAACGTAGCGGGCAAAAGAAGATTCACAAGCCCAATTGACACAACCAAGTTTTGTAACAATATCGTGTTTGGTATCATTTTAATCAGGAAAATCTCACCAATATTTTGATGAAATTTTTATTAACGAAAAATTGAAAATAACAAACTTTTGTAATTTTGTTAGTATTGTCTCACGGACATGCCGCCACCGAATGCGATAAGGAGATGCCGTGACCGTGTCAAGGGTGGCCCCCCCTTGTGGTGGGGATAGACCATGAACCGTTCGCGTATAGATCCCAAAGAACTCTTATAGAACTTTTACTGTATCCACCAATAGGAATATAATATACATAAGAATCCATTACTGTACGACATAATTCAATTTACACCAATTTAAGCAAATGAGAATTATCAGGGTGATTTGTTGTTTGGGTGGTTATACCTAAAGTAATAATAACAGCATTTTAATGCCCTCATATGTGAAAGAATTCACCAAGAATATCTTCAAACTAAGTCATTATTGTTCAAATGTTGTCATTATCGAGCAAACACAATACTTGGCTGTTTATTTGTTTAACGGTCGAATGAAATCTTGTTTGAAGGTTGTAGGATATCGCTTATACGCACATCTTTCTCGATTGCACTTTCGATGCCAAATGATAAATCTTGAAATTTAAAAGAAAGAATTTTTCTTTTAATACTAGGTTTACGAATTTCACAAAAAAAATTACCGAAATCGTTTACATTTCTCTCCTACCACTTATGCTTATTATAATCTTTACATAGATACATAATACCACAGAGTTTCATCAAGTTAATAGTGTATGTTGTGCGTCACAGCGTCGACGGATAGTGTTTTCGCGACTTCGAACTTATCGCGAGTTAAATGAAGTCTTTCAAAAGTACAAGTGGAACGTATGAATGTGTCGTCGAGGAAAACTACACTAAAATCTTATTGGTTGGATGTTCGGAGAAAGGTGGTTGCAACTAATTTCGGATTGGATGGTGTGGGAGTGTCTTTTCCTTTTGTAAAGGGTAAAAAGGAGTGGGAGGTGAAAATTCTAAGATCGTTTCTTCCGTTTCCATTCTTTCTATTGCGTATCTGGTAAACTGAAATGTGTATTTTTGTGGACAATAAAGTCGCGAGGGCAAGCAACGCAGTCGTCTACTCTTGAGTGTTTGAGTAATAAATTTGATGGTGAAAGTGAAACTTTCAAGTACCTTCACTTTCGGGCCTAGTGTTCGCAGGGAGGTGGGCCTTAAACTGGTCTATTAACCGCGACAAATACTCGGAAAATACTCCTTTGTTACGACAACAGTGTACAATATGTTGTTTTTAAATAAAATAAGTTGTTTTTTAAAGAAAATCTGCAATTTGACGCGTGTCCGTAGAGATAGGTATACCAGAAATGTCCGTTGGCCTAATGTTAATAACCGCTGAAATATTGAAATAAAGGCAAACTACACGGTACTATCCGACAGTAGCCAAATGTATGCGAACTAATTCGACTATTCAGACCGGAAAGGGTTAAAAGCCACTCAGACACCAAAATGATTAACTCCACTTTTTGATATTCTGCCAATTTTAGTATCAAAGCACACGCTTGGTGATGAATTTTCCATAAATAAAACAGATTTAATCAATGTTATTTGATGGAGTTAGTCACTTTAGATTCTAAGCGGCTCGAATATCAATGGCTAGAGTAAGAAAACCAACAAACGACGAGCTACAGGCTGTGCCCGTGACTGTCACAGGCTTGCACAAATGAAACGTTTCAACGTTCCCGTGTATGTATGTCGCGGGAATGTGTATTAAGTAGTAAGTGGAAAATGCTGTGTAATGTTTACTTCACTGTAAGTGTATAAGATTTAATACGAATGATATAAGCAAAAGATGCTGCACCAACACGTTTGTACAATTGTTCACACGATAACATTGAAAGTGAACTCACGATAAGATTAGTATTATACGGTGAACTGTCGACGAAACGTGAACTGCGAAGTCAGTTTGCCAACCTGAAATCGACATGTTCGATTTTGATCAAACAGTCGGTGCAATTATCGCGGCAATTGTAGCGATCCTCTACTATTACTTCACGTCGACTTTCGATTTTTGGAAAAAACGCAACGTGCCCGGACCACGGCCGATACCGGGATTTGGAAATATTAAAGATGTCATGCTTAGAAAAATTTCACTGGGCAGTCTTCTGGCGAAACTATACGTCGAATATAAGAACGAGCCTATGATCGGAATTTATGTGAGATCATCGCCCACACTCGTTCTCTGCGACTTAGACCTTATCAAGGAGGTTCTGATCAGAGACTTCTCTACGTTCGATGATCGAGGAAACGTTATCACCGAAAGGGTATGCATATTGAAACATTAAAATAGAATTAAGAACTAGACTAGGCTAGAACTAGAATTAACTTCGACAGTTGGCAGGCATTAAAATGTAGTTTCAGCAAAAATTATTGACGACACGAAACATAAATTCATTGTTAAGAATTCATAACTGCAGGTACAACTGTAGTTACTTTTACAGAGTAGAACGTGATGCTAGAGGGAAAAAAGTAGCAGGTGTCAATAATTTTTTTATTTTTACAACACAGAAGAAACAATCATATGAAATAAAATTAGTTTACTACAATGAAAAAAGAATTACATAGGTCTACTGAACAATTTATTTTTCTAAACTGCTTCATTTTCTGCTTGTACTACTTCACTTGAAATATTAGAAACATTACTGAACATAAAAATAAAAAATTATTTTTATTTTCTTATTTTGAACAAACATAACATGTGCATAATAATTTTAATAGCGTGTATCATTATGAGCCCTTATCGATAATTCCCTGACAATGACTATTTCAAATTTGATTTTAATCACAGGCTGATCCACTGTCTCCGAATATCTTCAATTTGGAGCCAACAAGATGGCGACCACTACGAATAAAGTTGTCACCAGTGTTTACTTCTGGCAAACTGAAAGAGATGTTCCCCTTGATCGTCGAATGCTCCGAACAATTGGAACAACATTTAGAGAAAGTGGCAGAAAAGGGGGAACCCGAAAATTGCAGCGAAATAGCGGCGAGATTCACTACAGACGTGATCGGAAGTTGCGCTTTTGGAATCAACATGAACGCATTGTCGAACGAGCAAAGTATATTTCGACGAATAGGAAGAAAAATTTTCGCGCCCGACACTAAAATGATCCTTAGGCTGCTCTTTCGAGAAACGATGCCGTCGCTGTACAATTTCCTTGGCTACGTGATGCCGCATTCAGAGGTATCGAAATTTGTAACGAAAGTCATCTCAGAATCGATCCAGTACAGAGAACAAAATAATATTGTTAGGCCAGATTTTATAAATATGCTCATAGAGCTGAAAAATTCTGGCACAGTGGAGAACATTGGTAAGATAAACAATTAAAATTTCTATACTACTGATAATCAAATAATTAAAGGATATCTCAGGCAAGAGTAGTAAAACAAATAAAAAATGTATATAAACTGACCAGATTTTCTGAAGGCAAATTCGGTAGATTTTTATTAAAGAAAAAGACACGAATATGTTTTGTAACGGTAATGAAATAAAATTACATTCTAATTTAATTATTACATTTAAAGAATTAGAAAAAATAAACAAATTAAACTCTCTACATTTTTGTAATTAAATATGATTACTTAATACTTAACCAATGGTTACAAATATTTATTTGAGGAAGAAATAGCCTTTCATAATTCTTCATTATTTAAAATTTCTTCATATAACTGACTACAGTTTACATTAACATTGTACCTTACAATTAACATGTTTTTTCAAAGTGTCTAACCTTAGCGCAGGTAGTTGTCGAAACTGTACCTGAGAAAAGGATCTGTATGTATGGGAGTCGAGGGACAAAGGGATGAGGATTCGACACTAGTAAGGCCTTAGATTAATTTTTGTTATATCTAACTGATTGATAAACCTAGCAATAACTTCCAAAATATGCGTTGCACGAAAGAATGTTACATACAAAAGTTACATGGTTTAACAGGGTACACTATGTAGTGCGTTAATTTCTTTTATAGGTGGAGGCATTTCGGAGATTTGAAGGTCAACTTTGTTTTTTTAAACAGAATACTATATTTTTTGTACCAAAACAGTAGAGTATCGAATTGTAAGTAAAAAAGTATTGACCGTTATTAGCCCTAAACCTAATAGCTAACGAGTAATTTCACTTTATTACTTGAAAATTTTCTTCACGTAATATCAAGTTGGAGATTCAACCTTATATTGATAAAACAAAGTTGACCTTCAAATCTCCGAAATGCCTCCACCTATAAAAAAAATTAACGCACTACATAGTGTACCCTTTTAAACCATGTAACTTTTGTATATAACATTCTTTCGTGCAACGCATATTTTGGAAGTTATAACGGTGCACACGTTGCGTGGACCACCCTGTATATTTCTTTTCCTACATTTAGAGTTGTTTTTCTCAAAATCAGTGTAATTCAAATCAGTACATCTGGTCACTTTATATACTATATACAATACCGGCCAAAAGTTTGGGATCATTGTGTATTGTAAGTTACACAAAAATTTCTAGAAGAAAATAAACAATTTTAAGAATTTTCTTTTCAAC